TACTCTCTACACTGCACTCAACCTGAGGGATTCCTACACTTTCAGTCTTTGAGGAGACATGAAAAACAGCGCATACTCAAATGCTGAGTACATACTCATACTCAGCGCAGCAACGGTATAACGGAAAATATTAGCGGTTTTGAAACCGTGAAATTTTCAAATCGCGGTATACCTTGAAACCGGTAATCGGCCCATGCCTACTCGCATTTGCTTGGAAGGTTAGTGATGGAGTTGGAACTAAACAGAGGTGTTCCTCTAATATACATGTTTCAGCAACAGCTTTGTTTCGCAAATCTTTTTTTGAGAATTTTCCCTACCCCTAAGCTGGGATAGTAGTAAAGGGATAGTTCACCCTAAGGTGAAACTTCTGTCATCAAGTTGTTCCAAATCTGTATGACTTTCTATCTTCTGCAGAACACAAAATAAGATATTTTGAAGAATGTTAGGCTAGTGGCCTTTGACGAAGAAAAACACTTCTCAAAATATCTTCTTTCATGTTTCACAGAAGAAAGTAAGTCATACAGGTGAGTAAATTATGCTAGAATGTTCATTTTTGGCTGAGCTATTCCTTTAAAATCATGGGTGCAGGTTTTCTGTGCGTGTGTACTCGCACTGGCCATCTGGGCTGTGCATCGGGCTTCTAGCCCCGGGTTCCCGCGCAGCTCTGCACTGCTGTCCACATGATGAATGGACAGAGCAGAGAAAAGAGAAACAGGGTTTATTTACTCAGGTTCTGCCACAGGGGGCCCAGGCTGATTAATCCATATTTTCATTCAGCGGAGCAGGCGGCGGCAGGACGCCTCTGTGGGCCTTTAGACCCTGGGACCTCTGTTGCCTCAGCGTACAGAGCTAATGCTACGCTAATTAAAAAAAAATCTCATCCTCCGCTAGTATGTGTACGTTAAATGCTTTGTCTCAGCAGAGATGGTTTCACTTTTTAATCTTTATTTATGGAGTGAGCTCTGTGCAAAGACATGCTTCTTGGCTGCTCCGTGAGAGAGTAACAAATGATTTCATTTTTTTCGTTGTTTGGTATAGTTTAAACAAAACAAATTTTCTTAAAGGGATAGTTCACCCAAAAATTTTAACTTTGTCGTCATTTACCGACCCTGTAACTCCAAACCTGTATGACTTTTTCATTTTTTAAGTTTAGGTTCAATAAACTTTACCGTCCCCGAAGGGAAAATTTGTTTTGGACCCATGGCATACAAAAACACTAAACAGTAATAAACCCAAAACATCACACAATGTAAAATAGAAAAAAACATCTTAAAATCGTACGTTAGAAAAGTTATTATTATTATTTTTTTTTTTTTCAGGGAATGATCTACACAAGAGGTACATTTATATTGTTTAAAAATGTAGTGAAAACAGATTCTAGTAAGGTTAGTCATGGCAAAATGATGCTCTCTTTACCGAATGTTGGATATTATCAGAGCTGGTCAAGTTTATGGCATTCATGAGAAACGCCCACATGACCTTATGTTGGGTCCAGTCCTGTTGAGAGTAAATCTGTTAAATGAAACCGCATTTGCTACACATTTTGCTTCTATAATGTGATGTTGAAGCAGGATATTCAACTAAAAAAAGTAAGGTAGGGCTTTTATCCATCAGCAGTTGATTGGAAAATGGTCGTGTGGTTTGAAGGTTGGGGTTGAAAAATATGAGTGGGTGACGTCAGCCAAAAAGCCAAGTCATAGGCAGAGGTTTAGATGAAAGATTATGAAGATAGACATTTTTTTATTTGGTCAAATGTGCATTAATAAAGTAACTGGGGTCAGTTTTGATTTCATGTTAACTTTAAGCTCCTTGCAAAAGGGCGTAAAGAATGACTCTTGCAAGACTGATAAGCTCCTTTTCCAACTGGTGCTGGTTCCCAATCTGGAACCAGTTTGGGGTCAGTAAGATTTAGATTTTTAAGAAAATACTTTCTTTCAGCAAGGACACATTAAATTAAGCAAAAGTGTCTATTAAGACATTTATACTGTTAAAATGGATTTCTATTTCAAATAATTGCTTCTTTTAAAAACGTGTTTATCAAAGAATCCTAAAAAAATATATCATGGTTTTCACAAATATGTTTAGCAGCACAACTGTTTTCAACATTGATAATAATAAGAAATGTTTCTTCAGCACCAAATCAGCATATTAGAATGATTTCTGAAGGATCATGTGACACTAAAGACTGGAGTAATGATGCTGGAAATTCAGATTTGCCATCACAGGAATAAATTGCATTACAAAATATATTAAAATTATTGCATTTTACAACATTATTGCTCTTACTGTATTTTTGATATAAATACAGCCCTGGTGGTAAGCATAAGAAACGTCCTTCAAAAACCTAAAAATGTTATACCGACCCCAAACTGTTGAACAGTGGTGTACATGTGAGTTGATTGATTCGTATTTGTTATACACTTAAATAACTGAGGGCCGATTATGTAGTCACACTTCTCTCAGATGAGCACTAGTTCAGTGCTGTTTCATTAGAAGAGGTCTATGAAGATGGAGGCTGATGTAGAAAAAGTGACACACTTGACATGCGTTGGCAAATCCAGTAATGAATCCAATAACACAAAATCAACTGATTCCCTGTCTCACCAAAAAGTGCAGGTTGTGCAGAAAGCGTACGGCTGTGGGCGAGGTGTTTTTGTGGCACTCCACCCAGTAATCACTGGATTCAGCCAGAGCTCTGTTTCTCTGTGGCACCATCAGCTGCCACAGCCTATAGGGGAAACCCTGCTCAGACAGAAGCCCTCATTGTGGGATGAAATTAATCTGCTGCGGAGGGTCCGGACGGTGTTAGAAGTCTGTGCAACGGTAAATGGTAGAATCTCTTGTGGCGAGTTCCAGACGAGCTGGCACTGAGATACAGAGTGGCAGCGCTGTTTTGACAACTTGCACAGCTGTGTGGTATAATTTAGGTTAGAGGGTAGTAACACATCTCAGGCGAATAAATATACATGTTTGTGTGTGTTCTGCAAAGGAGTATGATGAAGAGTGGGGGAAGAAGATCCAAAGTGAGAAGTTTCGCTGGCATAACTCACAGTGGCTGGAGATGGTGGAAAGCAGACAGATGGAGGACGCCGAGCCATACCTGTACGGAGACAACCCGGACGCCCTGGAGCAGCCCGATCTCTTCTACAGCACTGGTTAGAAACCACACATACACCCCCAACAAACACCCCGCAGAGGAACATAGCTGAGACCACGAAAGACAGTCGAGTGTTTTCTTGTCTGCTAACAAGACTTGATTGACATGCTGTGCCACAACTTGACAGACACGGAAAGTTAAAACCTTACATTTAGATTTCCAGATTTTTGCATGGGGATTGTGGTGCTGTATTTTGGCTTGATCGTCCGTCGAGTTGGTGTCATCAAAGGCTTGTCGTAGTGAGAGGTTGTCAGGAAGATAGATGAGGAGAGCTGCTGGGTGGAAGTGGCTCTGCGGGGTCGCTGTCTCGTACGTTTGTTTGCTCTATGTACTCTGTGTGTGTGCGCAGACGGTATGATGGCCCCAGAGCCAGGCCTCAGTCCAGACTTCTACAGCCAGTTCCACTCTCAGAATGGAGACTTCAACACCTGGTGAGTGAGCAGCTGTTACCCTCATCAGCTTTCCTTACATTATATACATGTGTGAAATGATTTTTGTTTTGACTGTATTTTGTTAATTATTAGTGCTGGCAATTTAAATTTAAATCAAAATTATTTACATGTTATGCCAATTAACTAAAAGAATTATATTAAAAAAACATGATTTTACTAAGAAAATCCCTTTGTCACTTTGTGTAGTGAGTGACTCATTCTGTGACGCCTTGTCGAGTTAAAAGTAGTTTGGAGTGCTTTGTAGTTCTTTTTTTATCACACATTTGTGACCCTGAACCACATAACCAGTCATAAGGGTGAATCTGAAAATCTGAATCTGAAAGCTGAATAAATAAGCTTTCCATTGGTGTATGGTTTGTTAGGATAGGACAATATTTGGCCGAGATACAACTATTTGAAAATCTGGAATCTGAGGGTGCAAAAAAAATCCAAATATTGAGAAATTGCCTTTAAAGTTGTCCAAATGAAGTTCTTAGCAATGCATATTACCAAACAAAAATGAAGTTTTAATATATTTACAGTAGGAAATTTACAAAATATATTCATGGAACATGATCTTTACTTAATATCCTAATGATTTTTGGCATAAAAGAAAAATCAATAATTTTGACCCATACAATGTTTTTTTTGGCTATTGCTACAAATATACCCCAGTGACTTAAGACTGGTTTTGTGGTCCAAAGTCACATTTTTCTATAATTAATCTCTTATAATTAATTAACATATTGAATTGACAGTGCTAATAATTAGGGGTGCTCCGATCAGGATTTTTGAGGCCGATCGCCGATCCAGATCTTTTTAAAGCCTTCTTTTTATCATTTATAACTATTTATAGTGATACTCCAATCAGGATTTTTAGACATTTATTCAGGGCCTGAATTTCATTTTTGAAAATGGGGGGAATTCCCCTCTTAGGTGACTCTTGTGAGAGGGGAAGCAGCTTTCACACAGGAGTCCACTACTGATCCGTGGCTGTTTACCACAAACACAACATGTATCCATTATTTTGATTTCAAATCCAAACATTGTCACTGAAAATGCTTTTTCAGCATTGCAATTCTTTT